ACACACACACATATATACATACCTACACAAAATACACAATACACACACTTGCACACACGCAAACAGGGAAAACATACACATACCTTTTTTTTTTTTTAATGTGTACAAAAAAACACACACCTCACGAAACTCGTTTCTCCACACTCACAAATGCCCATACACACATACATATAAAATGAACACAACCACTATAAGAATAAAACAAAATACGAACAAAATACCACACACCAGATCAGCCAACCCCTCATCAGGGCCCTTAACATACCCAACTAACCCCCCACTTTGGAACAAAAAAGAACCCGTGCCACATATAACCCGAACCATAAAACCAAGGAAAAAAAAAACACAAGACTAACACAGCAAGCCAACCAATCACAAAATACACCTTCCCCGTTAAACCATCAGAGCGAGTAAAAAATAGGGGCTCGCCAAAAATACAAAACCATACATATACCTTAAAAAAAACAAAAAAAATAAATAAAACAAAAGAACAAATGGACAAACAAACCGAGCAATACGGAGCCTAGCAGACACTGACATCAACAATAGTCCAAAATCCAAATAAACCTCAATGAAGAAGACCTCACCATAAACAACAAAACGAAAGCACAATCATTTTTTTTATTAAAAAAAAAAAAAAAAAAAACTTCCCGCCCCAACTCATGAACAACCCCTGCAAAATTGAGAACTACATCCGGAGAAACTCTCCTTAGGCTCCCGGCCACCCCCAAAAATCCAACCCCCCCAAAAAAAACACCTCCCACACAAGCTAAACGTAGCCTGTGTTAACCCCAAAAAAGCCCACCACGAATACAAAGACAAAAAAATGAAGAACCCCCCACAAAACAAATGCACGAAATGACAGTCAGCCCAGTCGATACGGCGCATACTACCCGCTGACATCAACAAAAGTCCAAAAGTAACTCGCACCCCAAAAAAACTCGCCATAGCCAAACCCACAAAAAACAAAAAAAAAAACCAAAAAAAAGCCCACCATGAATAGAAAGACAAAAAGAATAAAGAACCCCCCACAAAACAAATACACGAAACGACAGTCAGCCCAGTCGATACGGCGCATACTAACTGCTTACATCAACAAAAGTCTAAAAGTAACTAACACGCCAACAACAAAGACCTCACCATAGCCAAACCCACAAAAAACAAACAAAAACACGGGCACCATGGCCAACCATGAAAAATAACTTCCTGCCCTAACACACGAGCAGGCCTGCACACTGCAATCCCCATAGCCTCCTATGTCCCACCACATACCGCCCACACCAATATGACACCCACAGCTCCTCCCTGGCAGTCAAAATCACATCATTTGCAAAAAAATAGCCCCCCCCAAAAAATGAAGAACCCCCCCCAAAAAAACGCCACAAACCCCGATACAGGACCTGCACTATCCCCGATGACGATCATCGCACCTAGGCAACCCAAACTGCCTACATATACACAGGAAAACTCGGAACTTCTCCTCACTTGAACGAGACTCCGACTCTCGACAAGCTCACTCAGGCACCTGCACCAGCAGGAACTCCGTCACTTCCAACAGCGTTAACCGTACCATCTAGGTCGCTTAAACACCTGCACAGGCCTCCTCCCACCTCTACACCTTTCTGATCTTGAGCAAGGCAGATCCTGGACACACCACGTGAACAGGATATAGCCCACGCTTGACACCATACCTCGAATGCACTGCTCTACTACATTTGCGTTGCAGTGACGCTACAGATCTCTTGAAGAATGGCGGCTATGGCTCCGGCAATGGACGATCAGATCACCGACACAGAGATCAATGCGCACGCCGTAATTATCTCTCATACCTCAAATCCCCGAATCACCACCAATCCCTACCCCCGCATATCCATGTCCCCGCCACATTTATATCAGCCCCCCTTCCCTTCGCAAACTCTCCCTCCCCGCTCACAACCTCGCCCCCTTCTACCTCCTGCCCACCCCCTCTATTAGCCAAAAAATGCTGATACATATGTCGCCCCCTCTCCACTGGTAATCGGACCAGTTGATGTGGAAGGCCACCCATGTCTGCAGCAAACCTTCGTCTTATCCCCTCTGATGAGTCGTTTGGCGCAAATGGCGAAAAGCGCTTTAGGGATGTGCCACCCTTGTTCTCCGATTAGAAAATTGGTCCTATCGGACAAGGTTCTCTTCTTCATGCTCTCTATCTATTCTCGCTGTTCTTCTGGCCCCACTGCGTCAAAAAATCCCCCTTCTTTGTTCTCATCCTCTCCCCCCTTAAAACGCTACTCGTCTCGTTGCTGGTTCTCCTTGCTATGGGTGCAGTCAATCCTGTTGAAAGTACGAAGAATATATGAGGAGATGATCTAATTCTTGGTTGGCACTAGGTGTTGTTAAGGAGACCCATGCGACGGTTTGATCTAATACTGTTTATATCCTAGAGTCTCCGAATGTTGTGCTGTTCTTGGTTATGCCAGGTTGTCTGATTGCTTTGCAATTTACCTTAACACACACACAGGCTTTTGAACCTTGATACAATGGCGCGGCTAGACTCCCCGCCTGACGGCACATATAAATTTGCAAAGACCTCGATATAACTTGTACGATCCCCTGTCGTGGCATATCCTGCTATACACGCCAGCAGAACGATCCCCCTCAAAAATTCTCTCTCTCAAACACGACTCAATTTGCTCAATGCACCCCCCTCCCCCTCCCCCTCCCCCTCCCCCTCCCCCGCAATCCTTACCTTCGTCATGATATCCTCCTACGTACAACTTGCTACTCTCCCTGCTATGACGACGATTAGTCAAATTATGGGCACGTAGAGGCAATGATCTATCTAGCATAGGTATGGAAACCCAACCAACGCCTTGGAGTTAATACTACTACAACTAGTAATATTCCTCGTCGTAACACACCATGCTACGCGCCAATAAATTGATCTTCCCCCAAGAATCACACTGTCAAGCACAGTTCCCCACGCTGATTACACTCCCTCCCCTGCCATATTAACTATAACTCATAAAATAACTCTTACTACTTAAACCCACCTAATAACTAGAAAACGACCCCTTACTTGCCAGTATATCCAGCAAAAGTCTGCCACAACGCAATATACACACCGACGTACGAAGTCCTATAAAAAGTCACTCACGCACTATAGAAAAACCAAGTGCACTGACACGCCTAGTTTCACTTCAGCTAATCACACTGTTGCAACACTATAAGGAGAAACTGTGTAACGACAAGTAGTTGACACCTATGCACTCACGAATTAGGCAACCAAATCACACTCCCTTACTAAAATAAACCTTCGACCAAATAAGCAATAACCTCAAACCCGCTACCATAAATTACACCTCACTCCTCTCTCAACACTTCCTACACAAATACCTACAACAATATACCAGACTGGTCAATAGACCCTCGTAATAACGCTGTAACAATTGAATAAGCACTAGAAGTCACAAATACATCTAGTAGCTAATAGAAGCTACATAAGAAATTTCGCCAATAATAATAATCCTATACTACCACCGCATGATCTATGGCTTACTACTGCACTCAAGCCAATAGCAGGTCTCCGCAACGGACGTCCACACGAACGAGTACATCCGCACACAATAAATATCAACCATTACATATTCACGCATACACATTCTGTGTTACTAACCCTCCCATTCCTACAAATACTTGCTAACGCCAAAATACTATCTCTTACACCCATAAACCCACTAACCATAGTAACCAATACATACACAACAATACGCTTATCAACCTTTTCATTAAAACAAGCTCAATTCTCGCCATTTATCACACTCATCTCACCGTTTACGTAACATAAGTATCAACCTTATCAAGTCGCCTAGACGATTATAACAGGCCGGCGCGCACACACATTCTCATCTCTCCTCTATTCCCCTCCCAAATAAAGCTACACATACATGCACATCCACTCGTACAAAATAGCTCTAAGCAAGAGGAATTGTGGAAAACTGTTATTATTCTTGTTTGCTTTCCAAAAAATCTCGAAAAACACAACATGATATACTAACTGGCAAAAAAAGAACTAATGAACGAAAATTACTTGGTAGATCTATCTTAAGTTGAGAATGGAACGCACTAAATTCCAGAAGATTATCATGTTTGGATGGAAAATGACCCACCTACAACAGCAACAAGACACAACGATCCTTATCTGTTGCCAACCGACTAGCGAAAAATAAACCAACAAGGACGACATTGTAATTTGGAGTTCGTTCGTTTTTTTTTCATGAAATGTCTTTTTCATACAACGCCCAACCTGTTTAGTAAATACGAAAGAGTTTACTGTCCACCTGCCAAGCGCACAGACCATGTATAAGATCTGAAATAAATAAATAATACCCATCCAAGAGGAAATAAATAATCCTGGCATTAGCCAATAAAAAAAGACACCTATTTCGTACTAAAACACATGAGTACTACACCGGTCATACCCTTGGACTATCTATTCCAAGGAAAGCTTGAGTTATCTACTACCGATTAGGACACATGCGACCACACTCGCAAATTTTCGGTAAAAATAATGCAATACTGTCGACACATATGCATACAACATAACAAGATTATAATACTCTTTTGACCAGGCCCTACCGGGCTCTCGCCAAAAACAATACCGTATTGGTTTTTCTTTTTATCATATTTGGAGGACGCGCCTAAGTTAGAGAAACGGCGAACCAATTTTGAATTCGATGGAAGCTTCTTGGACCGGTAGATTGGAATCGGGCGGTTTAGACTTTTGTAGAAGCTTCTTGGAACCGTAGGTTAGAATTGGACACCTTGTGAATTGATATTCTAGAAACTTGGAAAGACCCACTGCGCCTGTCGTTAAAGGACCGAACGATTTAGACTGACGAGCGCATAGATTGGTGCGCCCCACAAAAAATTGTGCGTCACTTACACATGTGATGCACACGTCTACCTCGGTCGGTAGTTTATGGGAGTTGCAGGCTCGTGATTCAGACGCATGTGACTAACATGCAAAATCAATTCCACAAAATTAATATCTTTGTTGGTCCCTATGGTGTGCGAAGAATCTCAAATCGGTTGACTGTTAAACTAAATATGGTTTTGGCAATGCTAATTTGTCAAGTCAATCTGCCTAACTCCGTAATACGTCGTAACCGTTAAATCATTTTGTCCAGAATGGTAATCAGTTATCCCAACCTATATCCAGTATGTCCAAAATACTCATTGTTTCTCCCAACCTAAATCTGATATGTCCAAAATGCTCAATACTTATCCGAACCTATATTGGTTGTCCAAATCGGTTCCGATAATGTACTAAATGAGAAAATCAAACTGACCAATTCGGTTTGATGATTGTCCAATTGAATTTTCGTTTGTCCAAATCACTTCACATTGATCCCAACTTACATGGTCAAAGGAATAATATTGTCAATACACTAAATACTATGAATAACCCGGCAAGATTTTCAACCCGCTACTCCTGATCATTTGATCCGCAAATTTAGCAATACCTCAAGACCAAAAAAACACACTGAAGAAGCTCAGGAGTGCAGCCTTACTGAAACCCACTGAAAAACTGCCCGTGCATGCAATGTGCATTACGCAAGGCTACTAATGATTAATACGCAAAAAAAGCAGTCCATGATTACTCGATCCACTAACAACGTATCCATACTCACGTACAAGATTAATAATACATATGAACCCAAATACATCAACACATTAATACATAACTACGCACCCTTATATAGATAGCCCTTATCATGACTATACAACCTTGATACCTCTTCTGCAATGCATGGAAACATCAATCAGACATCACCAACTTTTCAGAGAACCCTTACATGCACACTTTGTCGAAAATACCCTCCATCAAAACGAAACATCATCTCATTTCAGCAATCACAAACAAAAATATTGACAGGACAAAAGTACCCCCCAATTTTCTCACCATATGAAAGAACGACGCTTATGGCGTCACAACCCTGAAACGATCGCAATCCTATCTCACTAACCCTCAAAGGACGTAATTCCGAAAGGAACGATCCTTAAAGAAGTACGTTGCAACAAAACCATCCATGAGAGAACTAATGAACTTGACACACAAAAGGGATATCTCCCCTTGACAAGAGTCCTCTGACGAAGAAAGCTGCTTCCTCTAAGATATACAACCTCAGCTGCTATGAGAGGTCTTGAATGATCATACTATACAAAAAAGAACCACCTAACTGCCTAAAAACTACAACAACATGCAAAATACCGACACAACCACTCGGTAGCCATCAGTTGCAAATTTGAAACACCAATCTCCACACGTTATAAAACCGCCATACGATCACTAAAGATTGCCACGCATATAGGCTCGACCCTCCAATGGGGCATCCAGAACTGCCTCCCACTCCACAATTGATGACAGGTGATCATCATGCTCCTGTAACACTGTCGTCGTCACTAAACGAACCATTGATTCTACAATGTCCTCACCTGTACCAACATGCACATTCGGAACATCGTCGTGAACCTTCGTCACATACACAATAACATCATGAAGAAACTCCTCCTCATAGCCTACCCCACGACCACTCGAAGAACCAACTCCCCCCTTGCGTCGATCTCATAACGACGAATCTCATGATTCGTAACTGAAGGCACAAACTCAAACTCACGCCCCAACCGATAGTCACGCAAGACACGCATCTCAAACACCATGACAACACGACCACCAACATGGCCACGTGTCACAAACATGACTGACATGATTGAGCAAAAGAGATACACCCCAACTCAGGGATCTTGTCGTAAACTGGCACGCAACTCCACTACGCAACAACAGATACTGCGAGTTGCGCCTCCAATATCCACACCCAAAAACACGCGATACGGATATGTACTATCCCCACTCCCCATATAAATAGGGAAAACAAACAGGTGGTACGACGGTTCCCTACCAACATGATAGTAGCTCACGAGGTGACACGACCCTATGCTAAAAACACACCAAATAATAACCCTCAAAGAGACACGACCATACACTATTAAAAAAAAAAACGAAAAAAAACACAAAAACTCATGACACCACATTCGATGGGTGCCCACGGTAGACAAGAACAACCAACTATTAGTTGACACACTACACATGGGCAAACAATAAATAACACAGCCCCTCAATAATGCAACACTCCCCCGACCCCCCACATGCGACCACAACACCCGGGTCGCGCGCTATTTTGCCTGACGTCACAAGCACCTACCGCAAAGAAGCATCGTCAACGCACCAAGTCTGTATGTCGCCAGCGCACAAGGTAAGCGGCGAATCGAACCAGCTCCGATATCAAATTGCAAGGAACATGAGTGTGAGCGAAGTACAGAAATCCAAATTCCAAATCACTATGAAGTCCATGTAGTCAAGCAAAGAGCAGATAGCACATTGGAACCAAGAAACCATCCATTTTGAGGATGATACAGCAGAATCAAGAATCAATGTCCAAGCCCGAAGGGCCACACCAACATCAGAACCCAATGTAGCTCTCTCTTCGAATGGCATCGGGCGCCCTATCTACTCTACAACCTATCCCTACAACTACAACATGACGCGACCAGGACCACTTGAAGACCAACGTGCTTGACGTCAACACCAATGCCGACCTCCTCTCGCACACCAGGTAAAGTACTCACTCGCTCCCCTCTTCTCTTCCCTGACTACCACTCATCGTCTCCTCCTTCCGAAGACCACCTTCACCCTCACCTGCTTTTGCGCCCTCCTGCAGCCTGGCTATGGCTGCCAGCGCCTTGCACCCCAGCTGCGCCCTACCGCTTAGCGCCAGCCAGCTTTCTCTCAGCCAGCGTGTAACGCAAGCACTCGCGCTGCAATGTAGCAGCGTGCCCGCAATGCCTACATTGGCCAAGATCCCTGCCTCCCAAACCGGTGCCCAGGGCTCAACTAATTGAGGCCCTGGGCTTAACTACCTCTGTCGGAGTCTGGGCTCACGATGTACTCCAACCAACTGGTGTGCAGCAACTATCTGATACCCACTTCGTGAAATGTTGAATGGAAGGCCTCTTGTGGATATTCTGGCCCGCCTTCACTTAGGGTGGGCACGAGGCTTGTTGGGGTCCTTAGCCCAGAACGGGTGAATGTCGGCAAGGCCCCATTGAGGGCTCAATCCTCACATTCCATCCCCCTTAGCTTCGAAAGTCCGCTGAGATGCTTACTTCGCAGGTGCCTTCCCCTTTAACATCCTTTCATATTTTGCTACCACTTGAGGAGCTGTGCCAATCAGTTCCTCTCTGGTGAACCACCGATCTTCTTTAGGATCCGTATGATGCCTGAATCTGACACGATACTCTCTCTTGGGTTTTGGAGGTCTCCCTCGACCCAGTGGCTTTGGAACAGACATGTCGATGTCCACGTGGCCATCCATGGTTGGGGGCAGCATTGATCTCCTTGAGGGAAATTGCTCTGTCTCAGCGAAAGGTGCAAGCTTTGAGGCATGAAAGACAGGGTAAGTGCGCATGTGTCCAGGGATTCAGATAACGTATGAGGGACCATCCAAATCAGTACCTACTACATCCAATACTTCCCAAGGACCAAAATACTGTGGCATTAGTTTTCAAGAGATGTCGAACTCCTGTCCTAGCTCACTAGCCTTTACCCATACACGTTCCCCTACCTGAAATGTGGACTGTCGACGATGTTGGTTCTCAGAAGCAATCATTGTTTCCTGAGATTTCTTGATGTGGTCGACAACTTGCTGCAACAACTTCTCATACTGGACACTATATTCCATGGTTCCAGGGGTTGCAGCAGGTCGGTTTTTTGGCAGGAGGAAGTCTAGAGCAGATCTAGGCTTCCATCCCAAGTGCAGCTGATTTGGACTGACGCCAGTAGTGCTGTGCACGACGTTGTTGTACAAGCTGGCGGTGAGAGACAATTTCTCATCCTCAGCAGATGCTGCACAACCCGGTTCATTTGTTCGGCTTGTCCGTTGGCTTCAGGATGATTCCCTGAAGTCATCTGAAGCTGGCTGCCCATCTGTTCAGCAATCTTCTTCCACAGCTCACTTGTAAAGCGGACATCTCTATCACTAACGATAGTCTTAGGCAGCCCAAAGTCACCCACCCAGTTGTCCATAAACAACTTGATGACGTGCTCAGTCCTTGCTGTTTCCGACATGGCTATTAGTCTGACGTACTTGGTAAACCTATCAATGATGACGAAGATGTGCCTCTTCCCACTCCTGTTGGTCACCAAGGTGTCCATGAAGTCCATGGAGACACTCTTTGTGCTTGAGTGCACGGTTTGTCCCGTTGACAGACTTGGCAAGTCTGTACATACTTCCTAGCATCGTCTAGCATGTTGGGCCACCAGAATCGCTGTATCAGATTAGTGTTTGTCTTCTTGTAGCCAAAGTGCCCTGTTGCGTCGTGACATCCCCCTAGAAATAAACTACGCAAACGTTCACTAGATGGAATAACTAACCTTTTAAGCCCGGCCTTTTCCAGAAAGAGTAGCCCGTCCACCATCACAAACTCATCTTTTGTGGCCTTATCTTTCGCCTGCAGTTTGCGTATGATGTCCATCGTGACAGAGTCTTCCTGATAGGCTCCCACCAGCGATTGAGTTACTTCTTCAGATACGCCAAATTCGGAAACTAGTGCCCCTAGGTAGTCTGCCCTTCGAGACAGCGCATCCGCAACCTTGTTGTACTCTCCCTTCAGATACTCCAGCTTGAAGTCATACTGATCTATGACCTCAATCCAGCGCTTGAGTGCATCAGAAAGAGCAAGTTGAGTCTTGATCCATTTGAGGGTCTGTTGGTCAGTTCTCAAATAGAAAAACCGCCCCAACAGAAAGTGCCTCCAATCGACAAGTGCCTTGTAGAGGGCATAGAGTTCCCTTTCGTAGATGGACTTTGCCAGTTTCTTTGATGGCATTTTCTTGCTCATATACTCAATCGGTCTCAACTTCTTCCCATCCTTCTGAGCCAGCACTGCGCCAATGCCGTATTGGCTTGCGTCAGTGGTCACAATGAAAGGCTTCTGAGGATCGGGCACCATGAGAACCTCATGATTCATGAGGGCATGCTTCAATCGCTTGAAAACAGCCTCACACTCATCACTCCACTCCCACGGTGTGTCAAGTCGAGTGAGATCAGTCAAAGGAGAGGCGATTGTAGAGTAATTTTTTACGAAGTTCCTATAGTAATCGCACATTTCTAAGAAAGATCTGACCTCAATAACAGTCTGAGGTCGTGGTCAGTCCCTTATACTGGCCACCTTTGCATCTTCCGGCCTAATCCCCGCCGCGGATACTTCATGACCCAAGCACAAGATCTTTGTGCGCCCGAACTCACATTTCTCTAAGTTGACCTTATGCTTATGTTGCCGCAGGAGTGAGAGAACAATCTCTAAATGTTGTGCATGTTCCTCAACAGACTTACTGAAGATAAGAATATCGCCAAGGTATACGACGACGAACTTGTCCAAGTAGTCATGGAAGATCTTATTCATGGCGTGCTGGAATGTACCCGACGCATTGCAAAGACCAAAGGGCATCACCACAAATTTGTACAGACCGTACCTGGTCTGAAATGCAGTTTTGTGTTGATCCTCAGGTCTTATGGCAATCTGATGGTAGCCGAATTTTAAATCTATCTTGGTATAATACTTACATCCCTGCACCCTATCCAATAGGTCGTCAGTGCGTGGTAGAGGCTCAACGTTCTTCACTGTGATGGCATTGAGGCCTCTATAATCAATGCACATCCTCAACGACCCCCCTCCTTCGGTACAAATAACACTAGTGATCCGAAGGGGGAAGTACTAGGTCGTATCCATCCCTTCTCTGTAAGCTCTTTCAGTTGTCGCCGAAGTTCGTCCAACTCGGCCAGAGCCATCCTATAGATCCTTCCCTTTGGGGTTTTACTCCCTTGGATGATTTCTATGGCGTGGACAATCTCCCTATCTACGACTCCTGTAGGTTCCTCAAACAGATCAGGGAACTTAGCAACGACGTGTTCTATCTCTGGGGGTGTTTTAACGGCCTCCCCTTTCTTAGAGATATACACTAGGTACATACCCTCCTCTTGGTTCTGTTTATAGTAATTATAGAAAGTTGATGCGCACAAGCAGCCATAGGATTCTAGTAACCTACTAGCCTTATACTTGACCAGTCTCACGGTCCTCCCATCTGGCAACTCATGCTTTAGCACCTTCTTGTCCCAGTCAAACTGGGGCTTGGCAACCTCAAGGTAGTACATTCCTAACAACATATCAAATAGTAAGTCGTCGCTAACCAGGAACGAAATCTTGTGATTAAGTTCCCCTCCTCCATAGGAGAAGGTGCAGACTACATCCTTGACATAGTCTGTGACAACCATGCGCTCCTTATTGGCCAAAGTAGATGCTACTGGTCTACTTAGGTGTTGCACCTGGTCCTTTAGACGCAGCCTTTCCAAATAGTCGCGACTTATATAATTCCGGGTGGAGCCGATGTCTACGAAGGCACCACATTTGCGGCCTCCTACAACAACCTCCACTACGAAATGTTCCCCTCTAGGAACTGCACTTAGTGCCACCTAGGACTCGCGTGGATCATTATTCGACCATTCACTTTGTAAGTCCTCTAAGGCTTCAGACACATCCAACGTACAGAGCATGGTTTGGTCTGGGTGTGTCTGCAGGGTGACTAAAGAGTCGTTAGCTATGGCCATCTCATGAAGTGGGGAGGGTATTTGGCCCACTTCACCATGAGTAGAAGCAGCTAAAACTTCCAGCGGCCTCAAGTGTTTCCCGAGCTGGAATTGGTCCCAGCCTAGGAAGAAGGCACCCCTCCTTTAGGGGGTATCTTCTGCGTGACCTTTGCGTTCTTGCACTTATACTGGGTGTGTCCGTATTCACCACAGTTAATGCAAGCACCACGCACTCGGCGGTCCCGCCACACTTCCTGATCAAGACATGCCTTGACCCAATCTGCTACTTTGGACTGATTGGAGACGGCCTGCCCTTGACTCTTTTGATAGCTTCCTTTACTGCCGCCACCAGCCTTTGCCTTGACTACTGCGGCGAGGGTGCTACCCTCAACAATCTCCTCGCCGTCGTACTCTGAGCTGTCCATCAGGTCGATGAGTTCCTCGATTTCAGTTTGAGTCCCATCAGACTCAACCATCATCAATCTACTACCCTTCTTTTTCCATTCCTGTGGACTCTTCTTCTTCCTCCCGTCTACTGGAGTAGGTTGAGCACTTCCTAGGGTAGCCTCCAAGTCTAAGGCCTTTCAAGAGAAGGTCTCAAAAGAATGATACTCAAGGCGAGCCTCGCTGGCCAGTAAGGTTCTGAGATTCTCGGGCAGACATCTCAGAAACATGGTCAATAAGACCTACTTGACCGATCAAGTGGCAGCCTACAACATTCATAAAAACTGTAAACACAATTTAACTTTATCCAGATTAGTTCACTTACAGAAGCTTTGCATAGAACTGGCTATGGTAGCATACAACAGTCCTAAACTAAGCTGTCTGTGAGGTGTTAGCAGTCTGTCAACCAACTAATCAAAATAAAACTAAATTATGTTGCAGATGTATGAACAGTGGAAATTGTAGTGTTTATAGTTGAGCACCAATTGGAACCTACCCTCCCCTCAATCCAACATTCCGGTGAGCATCAATGAGTAGTAGTGTCTTAGGTGTGCAATGTCGGCCCACCCCTGTGCCCCAGGTGCATGCTTATGACCAGGCTTGCCCGTTATTTATCCTCGTGTGCAACGAGCCGTACGTCCGACTGATCTGGCTGATCAAAAGGCTATTTAAGGACTGCCCCCAAGGTCGCTCAGTAATTATTTAACGTCGCAATCAGGACGACGATCACTGCCAGTGTACAGATCGGAACCCCATCCAAAAATGTTTATAAACGGTCTGGGAGCATATGCATAAGCCTATTCAGTCCGCACACCCCTCTATCAGCGCAGCAAAGAGCCCCAATGGACAAAGCAGCCATCACATGCGTGTACTAATCCCTTTGGGTTGGCATGGTGACCGTGACCCACGTGCTTCGACCAGGGCCCTTCACAGGCACCGCCCTTTCTCCTTCTAGATGCGCCACCGCGAAGATTGTCATCTCTCAAGGTAGAGCGCTCACGACACCTTACCAAAAAGAGAGGACTCTCAAGTTGGACTCACTTCCTTGCGGTAAGAAGAGATTGAGAAGGTAGATAAGGTAAGGAAACAATGTACCTGAAGATAGCTGCCCCCAACCACAAATTTTCTCACCAATTGAGTTGAATGCGCATTTGATGATCGGTCATAGCCTCGGTACCACCCACAACGCAATGCAGTGGCACCTCAGCCAAATGCCATATCAGCATGCTCTCATCACCGTACATACATTCTGTTGTCACCACAGCGTCCCAAGCTGTATAGCCATCCAGCGCACACCCCTCTACCCGGGTCGCGCGCTATTTTGCCTGACGTCACAAGCACCTACTGCGAAGAAGCATCGTCAACGCACCAAGTCTGTATGTCGCCAGCACACAAGGTAACCGGCGAATCGAACCAGCTCCGATACCAAATTGCAAGGAACATGAGTGTGAACGAAGTACAGAAATCCAAATTGCAAATCACCCTGAAGTCCATGTAGTCAAGCAAAGAGCAGATAGCACATTGGAACCAAGAAACCATCCATTTTGAGAACGATACAGCAGAATCAAGAGTCAATGTCCAAGCCCGAAGGGCCACACCAACATCCGAACCCAATGTAGCTCTCTCTTCGAATGGCGTCGGGCGCCCTATCTACTCTACAGCCTATCCCTACAACTACAGCATGACGCGACCAGGACGACTTGAAGACCAGCGTGCTTGACGTCAACACCAATGCCGACCTCCTCTTGCACACCAGGTAAGTACTCACTAGCTCCCCTCTTCTCTTCCCTGACTCCCACTCATCGTCTCCTCCTTCCGAAGACCACCTTCGCCCTCACCTCCTTTTGCGCCCTCCTGCAGCCCGGCTATGGCTGCCAGCGCCTTGCACCCCAGCTGCGCCCTGCCGCTTTCTCTCAGCCAGCGTGTAACACAAGCACTCGCGCTGCAATGTAGCAGCGTGCCCGCAATGCCCGCATTGGCCAAGATCCCTGCCCACTCGCACATTCTGCCTATATGCCTTGCTGCGTGTGGGCGGCCTCCCTCCAGCCTGCGCCTGGGCCCAGGCCCAACACAGATGGGGCCCCGGTAGTGCAGTTGCGCCCCTTATGCCAGGGCCATCGTCCAGATTCAGACCCCGTTCCGGTTTCCCATTGGTTCGCCCCGCCTCTACGACACAATGCTGCTTTTCCGTAGGCCAGCGTCCAATGTGTGATGTGTYGGCCTCCCAGACTGGTGCCCAGGGCTCAACGAACTGAGGCCCTGGGATTAACTGCCTCTGTCGGAGGCTGGGCTCACGATGCACTCCAACCAACTGGCGTGCAGCAACTATCTGATACCCACTTTGTGAAATGCTGAATGGAAGGCCTCTTGTGGATATTCTGGCCCGCCTTCACTTAGGGCGGTCACGAGGCTTGTTGGGGTGCTTAGCCTAGAACGGGTGAATGTCGGCGAGGCCCAATTGAGGGCTCAATCCTCACAAAACCCCGATATAATAACAATCTTGCAAAACCCAAAACCCTCGTCCACCCGTAAAGACCTTCCCCTTGCTGAAATAACACTAACACCACTCGTGATGATTGTAGGGCATAATTGAGCGATATGAGGGAACCAGAAGATGCTTGTGGCCGTATATAAAGGTGAGCCCACCAAAGAAACCCCCATTCCCCGTGAATAGCAGCACCCAACCTAGACACAAATACCTCGATGACAGGATAACCACAGCTAACCACCGGATCGCACCTATGTTGGCATGTGCAGGACCTGGAGATCATCAACTGTGGATGGCATGCAGATCTGGCACCAATGGGGGCACCATTTGCCAGCCTGCAACCACCGATCGTCCACTCCCAGTTGATCATGATGACGCTCCCGCAAGACATCCTCCACCGATTTCATGTGGCGGCACAGCCTACCAGCCTAATTGAGACGCTCACATTCAGTGATTGGGCTGTCATTAGCAGTAAATACGAAACCGCGCCAGAAAAGATGCACAGACTGATTAACGCGTATGCACTCAATGTGTCAGTCATCGTGACTAGAAATAGGATTCACAACAGGGAACTTAGTAGGGTCATAGCCAAAGGAGAGAAAGTGACGTTAGACAAATTTGGTTACTGCTCTGATCACCTGAACGATGCAGGAGATATTGATATCTCAACAGAGGTAAATGTAAGAAGACAAGCACGAAGAAAGCGGTTTGGATAGACACATGCAGAAATAGACTACCTAGAAAAACAGCATGAACGTAGACTCAACTTTGTATCTGCCAATGCCTCCACAACCATAGATGTCACTGGAAAGGTACACAAATTCGCGCAAGACAGCCACTTTTTACCAATTGCTTCTGACACCTGGGTAGAAAGGAACAGCAAACACGTTGCACACAAACTCTAGCACCTAGACTCGTTCAACTATACCGCACCGATCTCGATAGAAGGCTACAGAGCCCTTGCTAACCTCTAAGGCGAACATGGAATCATGCAGACAGGCAGCCCACAACTTCGCACTGCACTACCCAACTAACAGACCGCCATTTAATGGTGATTTCCCCATTCTAGCCATCTTGGACAAAACCAAGTGCGCAATCTCCAGGCCAGTCCTCACACAGAAAGGCTTTGCCAGGGTCCCCCAGACACTAGAAGAAGTCAAGAAGATGTGGAATATCGGCAGGCCCTACCTCAAGTGTACCTGTGAGAAGAACTGCGGCAAGATGATCACCTGGTTCGATCATATGCTATGGTACTCCATCGCCAACCTGGACTTCTTCGACCCAGTTGCTTCAACGGATGTCACCCGCATGCTCGACTTGCAGCAAAAGTTGGAGACGGAATGGAAGGGACCGGTCCTCGCACAAGTCACCTTCTTGCACATGAGGAAGATCGCGAGGGATCTTCTGGACAGACTCATCGATGACAAGATGACCACAGTTGATGGCCTCACTGACCATCCATCACTCAGGAACATTCCGTTCGTGGCCAGATTCACTGGCATAATGTTCCCAGATGCCCTCGCCAAGACACCAGGGACTGCAAATAGCAGCAGAAGAAGTGTCCTCGCGGCAGAGCCAGACATCGCATAGAGAAGCAGAACAAGGCAGGCACCGCTCCCATTCACACCAGTCTCAGGTAACGCCACACCAGTTACACCGGCCACAGGCGCTACACGCACCACAACCACAAGGATTCCCCCCACCATGACAGCACCAACACATCACAACCCTCAGCACGCCAACCCCGCAACCACACAGCCTGTACCGGCTACACGCGGCACATCCCAACCCCCTAGAGCAGCCCTATCCCCCGCAACTGCACCTCCTCCCGCAAAACCTCCCACAACACCCACCACCTCACATCCTGAACATGGCACCGGAACCCCAAGCAAATCACGTCGAACTGCAACACCGCGACCCAAACACACAGAAAAAAGCCAGAAAAAACAATGCAACACGCAAGCTGAATCGCAATGCAACACACCAGAATAACTCAAAAACACGCAGAAACAGAAACCAGGCGAGCACCAACCATGGCACGCAAGCCCAACAGTTCATCGCCGACGTCCTCGCACCCACACACAACGCCCCTGCCACCGAACCCCTCCTCCCACTACCCGCCCAATTGCCCAACATACGACCACCCGCTTCCCCTGCCCCCACGACAACCTTGCAAATTGGCTCTGCAATTCGCCTGACAGGTAGTCTCAGCTGGTTGCCCCTACGCAGCCAAATCTTCGGACACCAACACCAGCTACCCAATACGCAACCTCTGTCGATCCAAGTCATCAACATCCCGGACATGGACATCCAAGATGGTGCCAGAAGGCAGACTTCCATTAATGTCAGTTCGCCGTCACCAGACACGCCTACCAGAGTAGTAAGCACCTTCGGGCACATCTTCAAGAACTTCGATGTTGAAGAATCCCTCGCTGGCTCAGTCACTGAAGCTGCTAGTGAAGAAAACACAGGCCACAACGAAGGCTCCTCCAATCTCAAGACCATGAGAAGGGATCTGCGCAATGACTACGATAGCGATAGGTTGGCGCTCTCTAACTGTTAGATAAACAAGATATAATTAGACACTACAACACATCGGATTCCCAATACAACAGCTCATCACCCTTACACTCCCCTATTTGCTAAGCCACTCGACCTCAGTCTATCATCACAAATAGAATATATAGTCAGACCTAGTCAAAACATCCGCACCCCAGTTAACTCTCTTTTAGCCTACAATTATCACCTCTATCCCCTGCCAAACTGCATACAACGCTTACACATGTAACCTGACACAGTACCGCACAACCACACTCCCCCCCTAGGACCTTGACATTTAGAGATAGGCTACTCTGATAGAACAAGAGTTATCAAGACTCCCGGCATGCTACCTCAATAGTGAGGCATGTCAGAGTATGGAGCTTTGAAGGTCTCAGAAGTTGTACCTGCAATCTTGAAAGGTGTTCCGGTGGCAGCCCCTCCTTTTTTATGATTCAGACGCATAAAAGAATAACTGGAAAAAAAAAAATTGTCAGTATGGGGTTACTTTTTGCTTAAAGGATGTTTAGTCGCCATGGTTTTTGGATAAATGAATTTATTTGCCGGTTGTTTAGTATTATGTAGGGTTTAGGGTTTATGCTGTGGTGGATTAGGTCGTGTGTCCTGTTTTGGGTTTATATTGGTTGATTTTTTGCTTATGTGGTAAATTTGCTTCGCCATTTTGCGATGTGCCATGCACAACAACTATTTGGATTAGGTCAATTTCACAATGTTGGGTGGGGGGGTAACTGGAAGGCATTGGGATTACAGAGTGTGGGGGTACATGAGGGAGTCTTACACAAAGAAATTAAACTGTTTGTGCCTCCTAAACAGGTCAATCGCTTACAAGACATGGAAGATGGACGAAGAGGTTGGAGGAAAACTGCAGAACCCCCCCAAAAAATTATCCACCTACACTATAAAAATGGACTCATGGAAAGAATAAAAGTCAAAAACCTATTCAAACACATACTCCGATAACACAACCCAATGGCAACAGAAAGACTACAAAATATGACTTTCGGATGGACATACGATAACCACCTTGCCAAACAGTTATACAAACCAGCAGCTGTATTCAAAAAATTTGATCTTGCGCAATGGTATGACCTGCAGGATCAGACCTGCTTCTGCCAACACAACAGATATGAACAATTTATCCATGGATGCGAAGATGACGTAATCCAACCACATGTTGTCACCCTTGACACTAACATAATGAATAACACAGAATTAAAAAAACAGGTCAAAAAAGGCCTCAACCACATCCCCCTCAAACCATACAACCAGCACGAGATAAGGAAAGAATGCCAGAAGGCGCTTTACAAAACCGTCGAGTTAATTAATCAAGAAAGCATAGTCATCTCAGCTGAACAGCTGGCCATGGCACAACAACAACTTAAGCAAGTCGTTAAAAATAATTGTGCAAACTTTCACCGTCCGCTCACATTTGACCCCGAACATCCCAGCATTAAAAACGAGATTGACTCTACATATCAGGGGCTGACAAAGCACCAAATACCCCTACATTTACCTACATCAACCTCATAAGATATCTTGCACTACGTAAACTCACCGGGTCAGACTTCACACCCTGCGAATGCACAACAACCGAGCTTATTGCAATACTGCAGTACCAAATTGAAACCAATTTCCCCCTCGCCCCCATTAAAAGCAAGGAACTGCCCTACTTAATGGCAACCTACAAAAAACATAAAAATGCCTTTAGATGGCTAACTAACGCGGCTGATGTCATTTTCTCCCCTCTAGCTGACATCTGTGCCGCCATACTAAAAAAGCTAGCCCACATAGTCAAGACTAACTGTGGAGAACTCACACGAAGAACAAAACAGGAGTTCGGTGTCCGTGTCCCGTACTGGTGGATAGTCGACTCTGTCTCAGACTATATATACAACCTACCCACACATATATACAACCTCTACTCTGCAGACATTACAAGATAATACGAAACTATCCCGACAGAGGACTCAGAAGACGGTCTACCAGCAGCCGTCAACTTCTTCATCGAACTCGCCTTCAAGGAAGCAAAAAAGACATATGGAAGGAATACCGGTATTGCTTGCTATATCAGGGAAACCGACTCTGATCTAAAATTTGATATAGCATGGACATCCATCAAGCAAGCCGACACAACAATACTTACCGCAACAGACATCCAAAAAATGAATAACTGGCTAATGAAAAATGCCTACACGGCTTTTGGCGGTGCCTCATGGAAACAGATACTGGGAATCCCAATGGGACTTGGTTGCTCCCCCATGTGGTGCAACATCTATTTTTTTCAATATGAAAACAAGTTTATGAAAAAATTACGATTGACCCCCAACCTACATCTACCCCCCTATTTCAAAACTGTTTCAGGTACTTTGACGACCTAAACTGCATTAACAATCCTAGGATCAGAGAATTTATAAACACCGCAATTAAAAGCAAAAGAAGTAAGTACTATCTCTACCCCCTCAATATTGTGACGCTCAATGAACATACCACAGAAAGCACCCAGCTTGGCAACGCCAAATGTAATTTCCTTAACACCACCATCACCGTCACAGACTACGCAACAGGTACGTACAAAACCACAAAATTTGATAAGAGAAAAGAACTTAACTTCCCCATCAACAAATTCATAAAATTTGATTCAAATAAACCTGTTTTACAATCTATCAAAATCTTCATCCCACAGACGATCACAATAATGACAGTAACAACTTGCCCAATCCAGGCAGCAGAAGATCTAATAGACATAATACAAACGATGGCAGATAATGGATTCAACCCCAATAAATGCAAAGGCATAATCCAAATGACACTCAGTAACACAACTCGATATCAGCCATTCATATGTAACCCCAACACAACCCTTGAGCACCTCCACAGATTATTCCAAACCATGTGTGTGTAGACTGCAGAAAGACAAGTCTGGTACGGATGGGGACCCCCCGGAGTGGCAGGGTCGTCATCCGTACCTCTGCCCCCTCCGGGATCCCATCACGTGGGAATGCGGGAGGGACACACACACACACACACACACACACACATGCACACCTACAAAAAATACACAATACACACACTGGCACACATGCAAACAGGGAAAACATACACATACCTTTTTTTTTAAAAACGTGTACAAAAACACACACACCTCACGAAACTCGTTTCTCCACACTCACAAATACCCATACACACATACATATAAAATGAACACAACCACTATAATAATAAAACAAATACGAACAAAATACCACACACCAGATCAGCCAACCATACCCAACTAACCCACCGCTTTGGAACAAAAAAGAACCCGTGCCACATATAACCCGAACCATAAAACCAAAAAAAAAAAAAACACAAGACTAATACAGCAAGCCAACCAATCACAAAATACACCTCCCCCGTTAAACCATCAGAGTGAGTAAAAAATAGGGGCTTGTCAAAAATACAAAACCATACGTATACGTTAAAAAAAACAAAAAAATAATAATAAAACAAAAGAACGAATGGACAAACAAACCGAGCAATACGGAGCCTAGCAGACACTGACATCAACAATAGTCCAAAATCCAAATAAACCTCAACGAAGAAGACCTCACCATAAACAACAAAAAGAAAGCACAATCATTTTTTCATTAAAAAAAAAAAAAAAACCTTCCTGCCCCAACTCATGAACAACCTACAAAGTTGAGAACTACATCCGGAGAGACTCTCCTTAGGCTCCCGACCACCCCGAAAAAACCAACCCCCCAAAAAAACCACCTCCCACACAAGCTAAACGTAGCCTGTGTTAACCCCAAAAAAGGCCACTACGAATACAAAGACAAAAAAAGGAAGAACCCCCCACAAAACAAATGCACGAAATGATAGTCAGCCCAGTCGATACGGCGCATACTACCCGCTGACATCAACAAAAGTCCAAAAGTAACTCACACCCCAAAAAAAATCGCCATAGCCAAACCCACAAAAAAAAAAAAACCAAAAAAAAAGCCCACCACGAATACAAAGACAAAAAGAATAAAGAACCCCCCACAAAACAAATACACGAAACGACAGTCAGCCCAGTCGATACGGCGTGTACTAACTGCTGACATCAACAAAAGTCCAAAAGTAAGTCAGATGCCAAMAAAAAAGACCCCGCCATAGCCAAACCCACAAAAAACAAACAAAAACGCGGGCACCACGACCAACCATGAAAAAGAACTTCCCGCCCTAACACATG